TGGGGGCATAACAGGAGAAGGCCCTGTCACCCCTAGAGTGTAGATGGACTTGGGGGGACAGTTAGGAGAGCAGAATTAGAAGAGCGAAGGTTGCAAGGTAGAGAGTAGGGCGACAATAGTTCAGAGGTACTGAGGTGCCAAGCCATGCAGAGCCTTATAGGTGAGCATGAGGATTTTAACGTCCACATGGAATTTGATAGGAAGCCAGTGCAAGGACTCCAGGATAGGAGTAATGTGATCACTTGCACTAGACCTGGTCAGGATCCTGGCTGCTGAAGTTCGGACACACTGGAGTTTGTTCAATGTAGATTTAGAAACCCCAGCAAGCAGAGCATTACAGTAGTCAATTCGAGAGAACACAAATGTGTTGATCAGCTTTTCAGCCACAGTTAGTGACAGCATAGGGCGTAGTCCAGTGATATTTCCGAGGTGAAAGAAAAATGTTTTGACAATATGCTGCACATATGTTAATGCCAGAATTGAATATCACCCCAAGGTTTTTCCAATTTAGACTGAAGCTCAAGTACAGACCCATCTACAGACAGGGTTACAGGATTGGCTTTACGAAGTTAATGGGGGGTGCCAATAAGCATGACTTCAGTCTTGTCACAATTAAGACGAAGGAAATTTTTCAGCAAATATGGATAACCGAACATTAAGTGAGTTTTGTATTTTTCTACTTCAAATAAAAAAACACCCAAATGTTGGTCCTTTCCCCTAACATCTAAAAACTGCGCCAGTGTCCACCAGAAGTGATTCCCCCACACATGCACACGATAAAATCTGAGCTTGCACAAGGCACTTCTGCCAGCTGTGACTGATGAAGCAACGCTTCACTTTTTTTTTTTAACCCTTTAGCTGGAAAGACAAACATGCATTTGCTTCAGCGAGCACATTTGGCTCAAGTCTTCTGATGTTTCAGTAGTGGCTCAGACTTTAGGAGAGGTTTGTTTTTAATACAGCCGAGATTTCAACAATTATTAATGTTTATTTCTGTGCTTTATGTAGTTCCTCTCCACGTATTACAGCTTGGCGCGCATACTGTACTGTGCACCTTACAGCCACAAGATCCATGCAAGATATTTGATACTTTGACCAATGTGTAAATTACACCAGCAGGTGAGCTGATCCTTTAGCCTGTGTGAATGATCAGTGTGCAGCTAGGCGCAACCCTGCCTGCACTGGAAACAGCTTTAGCGTCTTGTACAACTCTGCCACCGAGTTTGCCTGCGGCACCCTGTTTGTATTTTCTCCACAGGGCGTTTTGCGTCACCCATCAAAGAGTCAGCCTCCGAAAGAGACATGAGGGCAACTTCTTAACGACAGGTTTGGGGAACCCTGGGAGGACACGGACCCTACCCAGAGGGACCCCAGACACAAAAGGCGGCTTTATTGCACAGCTGAACAGCACAGAAGTTACCTACTGTGCAGACTAGCACTCTGATTTTCATTATAGAGTAGCGTTAAAATCTGGCTTTTTTATGACTGGTTAGTTTGGTTGATTTCATGAAAAGTAACTACCATCTTCCAGAAAAGCCAGAAAAGCTCGAAAACCTGGTTTAATTGTTCAGGATACATTTCACTCAAATTTACTTTGAGTAACATTTTCTGAAACTCACCTCTTAAGCCCTGGGGAACAACTAAATCTCTGATTAACTATCGCAGGTGTAAACCTTCAGAGTCCCAGCGAGCACAGGCTACACTGCTGACATGAGCTGTATTTACCGGACAAGAATCCTCTTCAGCAGCTGCTGGTCTCCTTCAGAGTACCCTGGCCAGTTCTTCTGTATCTCCTCATACATGCAGTCCTTGAGCGTGAAAGTGTTGTCTCTCCCATTCAGATTCGCCACCTACGAAAGCAAGCGTAAGAATAAAACGTTTCAAAACTCAGATTAAAATCTTAGAAAGAGCAGTGATCCAGTCACATACTTTGTGACAGGACTGTGTTTTACCTTTTCTTGAATATGAACCTAGAATAACCACGGAAACTGCATCACTAATGCAAACCTGTTGTTTTTTTACATCTATACATATCTACAAACATGGTATATATGGTATAACAATATATATGACATGGTACAGGCTCTCTGCATTGTTTTGGGGACTGAGGAAACACCATGCTTTTTCCAGAGCAGGGCTCTCCACACCCTGGATCTGGAGAAGCCAAGTTCAAAGTTAACAGGTGTTATTTAATCACAGGCTACATTCATACCAGATCGAGACCCCAGAGCATTCCAAGACCAGGGTGGCACCAAAACCTTTTCTCTATCCAGGTCCACAGAGATGGATAAAAAGACTTGGAAGCATTATTGGAAGTTTATTAATCCAATAGGTCATTAATCGCAATCGTCAACCTTTCCCACTGCGATCCCAATGGACTGGACCGAGACTGAGGGCCACAAGATGATGATACCCTGTCAGATGAACATGTTAAGGTTGCAAAAGTTCTCACAGGAAACCGGCATGTTACTTCTGGATTGTGTCAGGGGATCCTGCCGTTTTTGTCCCCGGAGAGCCGCGCGACTGCACCTGTTGCAGGAGGCTGTCCAGGGAGTCCTTGTCCTGCGGCGAGAGCCCGTCCTTCTGCAGGCGCAGGATGAGCTCCGGCTTCCTGTAGGGCTTCAGCGCGAGGAAGTGCACCACGCGCTCCCGCAGGGGCCTCTGCTGGGCCGCGCTGCTGCCCTTCTTCATGGCGCTGGCCACGATCACCGGCCGCGACACCCTCCGCGAGGGGGCGATGTCCGTGACGCCAGATGCTGGTTTCCGGATCTGAACTTTTTTGCCTGGGCGCAAATGGGAGGGGGAAAAA